ATCCAACACTTCAATCATCGAAGCTCTTCCCACACCCAGCACAGCCAGATGCTTGCCCCGCCTCCTGGGGCAGAGCTGACCACGCCCCCCGCACGCACCCCTTCTATGAGCTGCTGCCCCCACCAGAGGGCGAGACTCTTAGGGCAGGGATTCTGTCTTCCTCTCCTATGTCCCCAGGGCCATCACTGTGCCCAGCACACATCAGAAATTCCATGAATGTTGGCTGACTTGAATAAATAAATAGCTAGATGTGACATGACGGATTAGAAGGGACAATTAGCTGGTTACAAGGTGACAGCCTCGTATATAAGTCTGGAGGTCAGAGACTCATCCACAGCGCATACAATTCCTGGCACAGGGTAGGTGCTCAAAAAGTATTTTTTGACAATATAAATACAAAGTAAAAAAGACATCAGCTTTGTACTATGAACAAATTTTTTTCTTGGGCATTTTCTGCCTCACTTCTCATCCCACAGTCAGCACACCATCCTGAAAAGGGTGCCTTGAATGTCTCGGAAGGAAAGTCAGCAGGTCACTAGAGACCAGGCAAAATAACCTCACCACCTTTCCGGGAGGAAGTGATGTCTCCGTTAGCAGAAAGCCCGGTTTTGTTTGGATTAGTAACACAGCTGACGTTAGCACTGTCCTTTACGAGTCCCCCGCACTTTCACACACGTTACCTCACCTGCCGTCGCATCCCTGACACGGGCAGGCCAGTTACCTGCCCAGTGCCCCCTGGCATCACGCAGCAGGACCCAGGCTGATGGTCCCCAAATTTGCGCTTTTTATGGCCCCGGGCTTTCTCCACCCGATGTCACTTACGCCACAGAACTGTGGGCCCAGCCGCAGCCCTCTTCGAAAGCACTTAACATGTCAGAAAGAGAAAAAGGCAGCAGTCTTTAAGAAGCAGAGACGTACGCTACACAGAACTTTTCCACGAGAAGAGTGGGTGACGGTCGGAAGGAAGGGCCTTTTTGCTGGAGAAACAAATGAAGAGGCTGCCCACGATGACGGAGTCTGAGTGTCAGGACTCCAGTAGTTCTGAACACCTGTTCTCTGGTGCATAACCACGGAAGGTGAGAGCCAGAGAACCATCATTTGCAAAGACTCTTCACCAATAATGAACGTGTCACCTTGAATTGCACGCAAAAGGCCAGGAATTTCTATGCACATCTCATTTTGAAACAAACAAACAAACAAACAAAAAAACCCCACTAACTTTCTCTGACGCTGAACTAAGAAAGCAAATTCTCCCTTAAAAGAGAATAAAGAAAACTAATACCGTGTTAAAGAACGACATAACAGTTACAATACAAAGTGGAGAGAATTAAAATCTCACACAGGCCCAACGGTTTCCTTTAAATCTCGCTCCAAATGGCTTTTCCACTTTTATACACATGTTCACTGCAAACCAGTTCACATGAATCCTTGACGCCTTCACAATTATTAATTCATGTGGTTCTGGTGGCCCTAAGGTCCTCAGCCACATGTAAGGTGCTACGGTGACTGCCCAGCATTGGGAAAACCTGGTGGTTTGTGCAGCTGAGACTCCAAGCGCCACCATCTGCTTGCAGGCAGGCACGGAGAGCACAGGTGTGGAGGAAAAGGACCATCCACAGACGAGGTGAGGCTTCTAAACCCTCACCGACACCATAATGGTTCATGGCTCCACATAACCCCCCAGAAAGCTCAGCGTGCCCTCCAGCCAGCGCCAGCCACGGCCAATGTCACACCTGCAGTGTTGGCGCGTCTGCCATAAGCTTACCTGAATTTGGTGAGATGTGTAAACTGCTCATGTCCTTGGACAGGCCGTTGGCTTTGGGGCTGGAAATGGGCGCGCAGGCCGAGGTGGCTCGGGGGGGCCTCTTCCCCGGGACCTTCACAGTGGTTCTCAGGAGATCAATCTCTTTACCATGGACATTCTGCATGTAATCCTGTTCAAAATGGTAAACATCCAAGAGGTTAGAAACGAGACCTTTCACAATCCAGGAAGTTCTAGCAGACATCACGTGTGGCAACCCCACGCCCTCTCCACTGCGGCAAGCGCCTCAATAATAACGGGGCCTGGCTCTGTCTGGTACTGGTGGCCTCCACGTTATAGCGCAGTCAGCTCTGCCTCTGAGTCCTGAACTAACCCAGGCCCTGCAAATACAAGGAGACAGCAGATGCTTCCGTCCAAGGGCGTTAGAAACCAGCTGGAGAAAATAGGTATGGACACGAAGTCACGG